GTGAGAGTCATGATGGCAAATGTTAGAGGGAGTGGTACATTCGCAATGCTTTCCGCAAGTTTGAGAGCAATCAAATACGTCTTGTGTGACTACAGGCTAGCAGCACCTCTATTGGATTGCTACCACCTTTTTTTGAAGTAGCACATTTGTTACTGTTATTTCTGGAGAACCGTTTGTGTCAATTAGATGTCCCATGCTTTAGAGATATATCTATTCCTGCAATGGACTGATGTCAATTAAGAATCCATTTTCCCTTGATTTAGGCATATAGGGGTAAGTGTGATATTTAGTCTGGCTTAAATACCCCAGGGAGGTAAGGAGAGGAGAACAGGAAAATGTTAAACCGTCTGTAATTAGGCACTGATTTTGTTCGTCAAGACAGACAAATCCATTTAATTCTTTGGAAAGTCCAGTCCTGCCCGCAGCCCTGATGCTTGATTGGCACCACTTAGTGATTTTGCTCGACTTCTTACGTTAGAGGTGGGAGGATGCGTTGAATTGCCTGCTTTGCTACGATGATCATTAGCCGTACCGATGAGTTGACATGCACAAACGTGAAGTTATTAATTACGCAGGTATATCTAAAATCCACTTCTTCTGTGCTTAAACACTTTGATAAATATTTGTGCTATAATTAGCTGATCTTATTCCTTTGTAAGTGCATTTGCTCAGCACGCTTCACCGATTATTGATAAAGCAAATACTTTACACAAGCTTTGATGAAGAAGATACCTAAATAAATTGGTAATTCAGAGGGCAGCAAATTGCGCATAAGCCAAAAATGATCAGTATGGCATCAGTGGACCACTACTTTGCCATGTCAATGTGGTGGCTAAAAGCATGTTCCTCTTTTCCTCCCCTCTATTGCTCGTCAAAGCATGCCGTTAACTGAAGCATAGTTGGTAGTCACTGACTTTTGGATCCATATTGAAATATGGGGAGCATATGATAATTTATATGGTAGGTTTCCCATGCTTTGCGTGAAGACAGGACATTTGCCGTCGAGTGTAAATATTTTTTGCCTCTATTGTCCCCAGAATCAACTAGAACCTCTGTCGACCATATATACGTGTGTGAGGGAGCTCTGTTGACTTAGCTGGAGTAGTTAATTGACTGCCACGACTTAGCTACTCTTGCACTCTCCATTTCTACTTTTGACGTTCACCTTCCACACCCTTTCTGTCCCATCACCTTCCCCTCCTTCTTTCTTTTTCACTTCATGTAAACTTAAAATAATGTATGGGGTAAGGAGTAGAGATTGGCGCATTTAGCATATAAGAAATAATGTTGTGAAACCATTTTGGAGTATTCCACAATAGAGTTAAGTCTCTGTTTCTGACTTGCCATACAAAGTTATCGTTATGTAATTAAAGTAATTGAAAAAGGTATAGGAAAATAAAAGACTACAACCTAACTTTTGCCGCCACGGCCAACTTTTATCCAAATTATGAAAATTAAGGAGAAATTGTACTTTTTGGCACCTTGAGATTTGCTTATTCATGCTCTGCTCGATAAACCATCAGGTCTTTTATTCACTTCCTTAATATAACCCTTCCTATAAGTAAAATCTGCAAGATAAGAGAAAGGACGGAACAGGTGCAGAAGAGCTTAGGCGCCGTGCTATACTACATGAACCTGGTCAATCAAATGAGAAATGCAGCAAAGTATTTGTTGAAGACATTAGCAGTGCCACAATTATTGTCAATTCAGGGTTACTAGCATTTTTCTTGCAAAATTTTGAATCTATTTCTATCTCATTACGTCCAGCATAAAGGCACACTGCTGAATTCGGTGCACTCAGGGAGTTTCCTCCTTTTAGAATGTTCATTTTTCTTTATTGAACCCTCTTCACAGTAGAAAGGCTGAAGCTATCGCTGGTATCGAGATTACCCAAA